ACTCTGGAGTCCTATAGAGACCCCTGCCATTCTGTGGTGCTGGGATAGAGCCCCACAGAGCCCCATAGAGACCTATTGGGATCTGTAGAGCCCCATAGAGTCCTATAGAGCTGTGCAGAGTGCCATAGAGCCCCACAGTGCCCCATAGAGTCCTATAGGGACCTACAGAGTCCCATAGAGACCTACGGAGCCCATAGAGTCATATAGAGCACCATAGAGCTTCACAGAGCCCCACAGAGCCCCATAGAGTCCTATAGAGCCGTATAGAGCCCCATAGAGACCTATAGAGCCCCATAGCACCCCATAGAGCTCTATAGTGCCCCATAGAGCCCCATAGAGCCCCATAGCGCCCCATAGAGCCCCATAGAGACTCTGGAGTCCTATAGAGACCCCTACCGTTCTGTGATGCTGTGATTGAGCCCCATAGATCCCCATAGAGTCCTATAGAACCCTGCAGAGCCCCATTGAGTCCTGTAGAGCCCCAGAGCCCCATAGCGTTCTATAGAGCCCCACAGAGCCCCATAGAGTTCTATAGAGCCCATAGAGCCATATAGAGCCATATAGAGCCCCATAGAGACCTATAGAGCCCCATAGCGCCCCATAGAGACCTCTAGAGCCCCATAGCGCCCCATAGAGCCTCATAGAGACTCTAGAGTCCTATAGAGACCCCTGCCGTTCTGTGATGCTGTGATAGAGCCCCACAGAGCCCCACAGAGCCCCATAGAGCTCTATAGTGCCCCACAGAGCCCCATAGAGACCTGTAGGGACCTACAGAGTCCCATAGAGACCTATGGAGCCCATAGAGTCGTATAGAGCCCCATAGAGACCTATAGCGCCCCATAGCGCCCCATAGAGCTGTACAGAGTGCCACAGAGCCCCATAGAGATCTATAGTGCCCCATAGAGCCCCATAGCGCCCCATAGAGCCTCTTAGAGACTCTGGAGTCCTATAGAGACCCCTGCCGTTCTGTGGTGCTGTNNNNTGTGGTGCTGTGATTGAGACCCACAGAGTCCCATAGAGTCCTATAGGGACCTACAGAGCCCAATAGCACCCCATAGAGCTGTACAGAGTGCCACAGAGCCCCACAGAGCCCCATAGAGTCCTATAGAGCCCCACAGAGCGCCATAGCGCCCCATAGAGATCTATAGTGCCCCATAGAGCCCCATAGCACCCCATAGAGCTGTACAGAGTGCCATAGAGCCCCACAGAGCTCCATAGAGTCCTATAGAGCCGTATAGAGCCCCATAGCGCCCCATAGAGCCTCATAGAGACTCTGGAGTCCTATAGAGACCCCTGATGCTGTGATTGAGCCCCACAGAGCCCCATAGAGACCTATAGGGACCTATAGAGCCCCATAGAGTCCTATAGAGCCCCACAGAGACCTATAGAGATCTATAGAGCCCCATAGAGCCCCATAGAGCTCTATAGCGCCCCATAGAGCCCCATAGCGCCCCATAGAGCCTCATAGAGACTCTGGAGTCCTATAGAGACCCCTGCCATTCTGT